TCCTGTAAAGCTCGCAGGGTCACTGAGGCGCGCAAGCCATCACACCACGCCAAGGTGCGGTCTTGTCGTGATGGCCACAAGTATCGCGCCCTGGAGCATATCATGGACCTTTTCACCGTGATTTGTTCGACACACAGTTTGAGCTCAGACCTATGTGAAAATACAATAATAACCGCGACACATCACGCAAAGAGAAACATCTGTATAATTTTATTATAAAGCAACAAAAAGAATCCACAAGCTCGAAAAATTTGTATAAAGGGTAGCTACAGGAAATGTGTTTGAAGGAATGACTGAACAGTATTTTTTTAGACATCTGGTTTTGAATTCATGCATGCATGGGTTCATTTAAAGGATAGTTTGACGAAAAAATATGATGGAGCTATGCCACCAAGCAACCTCAATATCCATGACATTACGTCCCCCACGCGTAGTGAATGGGACGGGGAGATCGACGAGTTGGCCAGTGAAGGCAACACGCCTAAAAGTATTGTCATTTGTGTCCTCCTGCAGTCAAGTTTCCTGAGGGAAGATGACTCCAAGTTGAGAGTATTAACGACGTTGAACGAGGTCGCTAACATCAATGAGATTTTAAATCAGCGAACTCACAAGACCTAGCCAATTTCTTTATCTTTTGTACCCAGAATAAAAGAGAAGAATGGCACAACAATGGATCACTACATTACGAAATGCGAGCACTTCTAAATAGAGGATTTTTAGACATCCCTCATTGTGTCTCAATTTGTACATTGCTCTTAATTGCACAATGGGGAATTAATGAGAACATTCATTTGACATACCTTGATAACTGACTGATTAGATTATTTGGTGGCTTATTTTGTAGTGGTAGTGATTTTCATTCTGTCGATTGAAGAACACACAAATATAAAGACAACTTCAAGCTAGAAGAAACAATTAATGGCAATTCAACTGTTCAACTATTCACCTTCCACCTCGCTACTCAAAGTAAAGCGTTTCATTTCCCATATCAAAGGTTGTTCATCCGTACCCCGGTCGCGAAATGAAATATCAACTAATGCTAATGCTTCCCAACAAAAGTGCTCGTGGTCCACGCTAACCCATGGGAAAAGTTGTACGGATGTAAGGAAAGACGAGACAACACTTGCTGTATGGTTGAATAACTATGCGAGAGCTGCAGAGCTAAGTTACGAATGGAGAGCTGGGGGCTTAAAGACACATGTATTTTCACGTAATTTCTCAACTCCTCTGTAGTTGTTGGTTTCATCCTGTGCCCATTTATTCTCCTCTGAATCAATCCGGTTTGGAGAGGAACCCCTTTGCGTTGTTTCTCGTTTGAAGTGGCCGGATTTCTCTTTGGCAAATGGAGACGTTTGAAGTGTGCGCATATTTCCCGAAAACTCAGACCTGACGCGTTGAGCCAAACCAAATGCGCTTTGTCACCGTCCATCTTCCAATGACTGACCATTGTGACTTGTTTTTCACAATCAACGGAAGGTTAAAACAAAGCGACCAGCTTTCCCCACGACACACGCACACACACACACACACAAACACAAACGATTCAGGAGGGTGTGGACGAGATTGTGAGGTGTGATCAACCGTTGCCATTTGAC